TGGCCCCCCCCCCCCCCCCCCCCCCCCTCTTAACACTATTTAATATTGCCCTTTGTAAGGATTCAGCATAATTTGTAAACCATTTTATATTGTGAGCTAACATTATGGATACTTATTTTGTTTCTGGGGGCACGAACCCCCCTTAGGGATGGGGGGGCCGTGAACTTGGTTAAAGCAGTCCCTATGGTAGTTGAGTCACTGGCAACCACAGAGTGTCTTGTATCGTCCTGTATGTATTGCGAGTCTTATATCGTACAATGTACAATAAAGTATTTAACTCCTTTCCCGTATGATATTAATTAGACTGTAATTAGACTAATGGTTATAGTGCACTAGAACCATATAATTAATAAATATAGGCTACGTTGACACCCTATACCGGATTGTTTAAAGCTAACATGACGTACAAAATGAAATATTGATATTGTTTAAAGCTAACGTGACATACAAAATAAAATATTGATATTGTTTAAAGCTAACGTGACGTACAAAATAAAATATTGATATTGTTTAAAGCTAACGTAACATACAAAATGAAATATTGATATTGTTTAAAGCTAACGTGATGTACACCATATTTTCATATTACCAAAAGACAGAGTTCAATTTGAGGTATTCTTATGGTGTCATTGGAGTCATCGGTCTTTGAATTGGACATTATCACATGGTTCTTGTGTTTCAGTTATTCAGTCTAATGGTGTTAACGGACAAATCTGCCAAGGAGAAACGTGTTCTGAATGTATCTCTTTTTCTAAAGATTGTCGATGGTGCATGCAGCCGGTGAGTTTATATGGAACACAATAGCTGTCAAAATTAAATAGATTTTATACAGAAGGCCAACAGTTATCATTTACATTCGTCTGTTTTGATTTTCATTAAGCATCAGAAAAATACCCGTTTATGCCCCACCCAATCCTCTAAAGCTTATGAAGTTATGTTTACACATTACTATTATTTTGATCATAGAATTTTCACGACACAGCGTCACTAAGATGTAACAAATTGGAAAATTTACTGGATGCTGGTTGCTCCGAGGAAAATATAATTTCCCCCAATTCTTCTATTGAGTATATCAAGGTACGTACATCAGTGTATACTAAGAGACTATAACCCCCCCCCCCCCCTCCGCCCTCCCCCTCTCAGCCCCTTAGAAAAACCTTTCAGAGATTCCACTTCAATGATAGTTTTTATTAGGCTTAATGGTTGGTGGAATCGGGAATTTTTTTCAGAGAGTTCCCACACCCAAGTTCTTAGGAGCCCACAAGATTATTTTGTTTCCGTGGCACTTTCACATCAATGGTTCTTTATGAGACGTAATAACCATTTGAGGTGCGGTTTTCTAAATGGCCGCTATTGGCTACCATATAAAAGTTTAACACAAGAGTCAATGGAGCACATGTATTTGTTTTGTTTTTCAGAACGAGGTAGTGACGGATGGAGACTCCAGTGGACAAAATGCTGTCCAACTTTCTCCACAGCTTGTTCATATCAAATCCACTCCTAGTAAGTGAGTTCTATAATAAATAATCCCGTTATCAGGTCCACAGATGTCATATCCGGTAGCCAAGAAATGCCTCGCCTAATAATTCTATATAGAACTGTACTCGGCACAAGAGCATATTCTTTGTGTAGTATGTCCAAAATGTGTAAAATTAAATTGGTTACCTAATGCTGCAGAGGACGTTCTAGGCACAATGGCCGTGACAAACCTCTACAAAACCTGTGGATTTGTGTTCAATAAGAGAAAGGATTATCATGACTCCTGGTTTTCTCTTTCAGACACTCCTGTAAAAATTCCTATCACATTCCGAGCTGCCAGGAATTTTCCTGTTGATTTATATTTTTTATTCGATGCCTCATATACCATGAAAGACCACAAAAACAAGCTAGCAACCTTATCACAGGAAATGGGTGAGTACGGGTTCGAAATTTCGAAAATTGTTATTCGGTGCGTTTTCTCTCTGATGGCGGTTCTCACATCTTCGATAGGGACGCATACAATAGTTTCGAAATGAAGACATTTCTGTGTGCAGAAGAGTGGCTTAAAAGATACATCAACGATTGAAGATCGAAAAAAAATGTAAGCTAAGCTCTGACCTGACAACATTCCCTCATTGCACACAGTTTTGGCAAGTTTAAAATTGAAATTTCAGCCTCCAAAATACAGAGCATATCACGAAATTATAGATTTGGTTTCGGTTGTTTCCAAGATAAAGTTATTTTGCCATTTACAGATACGTAAGTATTTCTACACCCAACTTCATCTTCTGTACTTCTCATGACCTTGACCTTACCTCGAGAAAGGATTCCTAGTTTGACATTATTATCATATTCTAGTGCCCGCTTACTAGCTTGCCAAATTATTATCATATCTTAGTGTCCTTGAACTTCAACCCTTAAAAGGATTTTAACCCACAATTATCATTTTCCAGTATCCTTGACCTTTAAACTGAGAAAAGATTGACATGTATCATCATATTTCAGTGTCCTTGACCTTTAAATCCGGAAAGTATTCCTTGCTTGACATATTATCACCACATTCCACTGTCCTTGACCTTAACCTGAGGAGAGATTTCTAAATTGATATACATGTACTCACATGTTTCAGTGTCCTTTAACCTTAGAGTAGATTTTAATCCACTATTATCATTTTCCAGTATCCTTGTCCTTTAAAATGATAAAAGATTGACATATTATCACCACATTTCAGTTTCCTTGAGAGGATTCTCATCTTAACATAATTCAGTGGCCTTGACCTATAACCCGAGAAAGTACTCCGGACTTGACATAATATCATCATTTTTCAGTGTCCTTGACCTTTAACCCTAGAAATTATTCTTAACTTGACAGATTACTTCATATTTCAATGTTCTTGACCTTTAACCACAGAAAAGATTAATGGATTGACATTATCATAACATATTCTAGTAACCTTGACCTTTAACCCCAGAAAGTATTCCTAGCTTGATATATCACCATATTTCAATGTCCTTGACCTTTAATTCCATAAAGGATAGTTTGACAAATTATCATTACAAGTAAGTAAAGTAGAAAAGTAAAACCTCATATTTCACTTCAATTTGTAGGTTCAAGATTGGCGCTCCATGTTCAGTTTGCGTTCCGCCATTTGGATATCTTCACAGATTATCATTGACTAATAATATTGGAGACTTTTATGTAAGTTGTTTCAATTCATATCATTAGCCCAATAAACAGAACTATACTCTTTTCCATTTTATTTTGGTAAACCAATAAGTTAAATCAGTCAAGAATAAAATGACGTAAAACCTCATTGCATTTCTAATCGTTTGTATCTTATTATTGTAGACAGCAATCCAGGATTCTCCCCTGTCTGGAAATATTGATACACCGGAAGGAGGGTTGGACGCTATCATGCAGGCAGTGGCTTGTGAGGTAAGTGAGATTTTCTTTATATGTACGCAAAAACCAGGTACGGTGCCTGGTTCTAGTGCAATGCGATGTACTTTACAGGACTTTCTATACGGCTGAAAAAAAGATGGGAGGGGGGGGGGGGGGGGGGGGGGT